TATTTCAATGCAATATTTAATGACTGTTTTAACGAATTTTCAATTTAATTATGTGTTCTTCCAATCAATTTATCATTTGATGATATTTTTGATAGAGAGAGAGAGAGAGCGAGAGAGAGAGAGAGAGCTTAGATCTTAGGCTATTCTTGTGGGAAGAACTCCTCACACTCTCGCTGGCGATCAATGGATGGATCGCTTATGACTTTACTCTCTCACTCCCTCTTTCACTCACTCACTCTTCATACATACGAACGTGACTTTCTTTAGCCAATACACTGAAGATCTTCACATTTTTGAACAGAAAAAATTTGATTTATATTATATTTTCTCAACTTTTTTATGTAATCGTTTCACTCCCTCTCCAACGCATACATACATAACAGCATTCATTCAATTGTGCCAAACAGCCTGTGCTCTCTCTCTCTCTCTCTCATTGTAATGTATTTTATTTATATTCGAGTGACTCCTCTTACTCGACTCCATGAGCTCATCCATGTCTTAGAGAATAAGGAGTTTTTTTCTTTCAGTAAAATATCTATTCTGTGAACTGAGCCCAAGAAATAGGTTTTAATGAAAAATGGTTCGCAATTCTGCTATGAATTGAAAATAATATTATTCTTTAAAAGTCGGTTGTATTGCGAGAAATATATCTCCATTTCATTTCGCGAGTGTATGACTGCATTGAAAGGCCAGTTGACGCTTATATATGAAAACTGTTAAACTAATGAGAGAATTAATTTCATATACTTTTGAGTCGACATTTATCACAGCAAATAAAAATTGAATTTTACAATAAATTGCTTGAAATGCTGTGTTTTAAAGTGTGTGCGCTTTTAAAGTGCATACTATAACGTAAAGTAAACATTTGTTTGGATTTAATTATAATTAATGGCTTTATTAGATAAGCGAGCGAGTAGTCTAGATTTTTATAGTAAAAATTAATTTTCTATAAAAACGTTATATAATTTTTAGATGTAATCATAAATTGTCTCATGAGTTAGTGGATGGAAGCGGTTATACCAGTGCTCTGTGTATATCGCAAATTATATACCGTTTCCTCTATTGCGAAGATTTATTCATTGATTGCAAGTTTAGTGAACTATAAATACTCGAAAATTTTATATTAAATTCTTTGTGTGTTTTATATATTATATAATTTATATTTTGTTTTGAATAAAAATTCATTAAAAACTTTTATGAAACGTTGCGTTAATTTCCCAAACGATTTAAACGATTATTCTTGCGATTCCTAGTCTCTCTCTCTCTCTCTCTCTCTCTCTCTCTCCCACTCAATGACTGTTTAAACAAAATTGTTTTTATAAATTTACTTTATTTATTTATGATTTTGATTTTAAATATGCTTTCAATTTGAATATATTTAAATTTATAATTACTTTCTGTCTTATAATCTTATGACAAATTACACGCCAATCGTTACTAACACCAAAATATGTATTCATTATGTTTTGCTCTTTTATTTCTAGTGTCAAAAAGTGTTTGATTTGCAAAGACGTGGTTCAGTCGAGGAATAAAGTAAGAGATCACTCGATGTTTGTGTTTATATCACCAGAATTTGTTTGCCATAAGAATATTCTGAATAAATATATTTTTTCAATGAATACTAATATCTTATTTTTGGTGTATTTGTTGTTTTCTATGCTGTCATCAGATCGAAGAGTGTTTAGTCTGTTCTGACAAGAAGTCAAGCATTTTATTTAAGGTATGGATTACTTGTCATCGAATGTAATCTGAATTTATTAATACTAAAGCACTTGTTATTGATTCTCTCGCTATCTCTCATCCCTGTCCTCCTCCCACACCAGCCCTGCAATCATCTGTGCGCCTGTGAGGGCTGTGCGCCTCTCATGAAAAAAGTAATAATTTATTCGTTTTATTGTTTGAGTGAAAAGACTTGTTTTTATTACCATTTTGTGATTCAATTGTTTTTTATAATACGATATTTTTTAAGTCAATTTTCCTATTTAATCATTACTTTGTATTTATGACTGACCTCCCGGTGCCCGTTAAACACAGTGTGTTCAATGTCGAGCCAATATAGATCAGGGTTTGTATCGATTTTATTCACTCATCTCTTCTTTTCTCTCAATTCTTTCCATTCGTTTCTCTATTCTCTTGAATTCGTAACGAAAAAAGTCTATCTTTTGCTCTCATCTGTCGATATATTTATTATTCATTTAATTCATTGAATTTTTTCTTGTTTTCCTCTTGTCGTCCATCCAGTCGTGCCATTCATTGTCTGCTGCGGAGGAATCGGTATGTATTGGGAGAGAGCCGTCATTCAAACACCGGTTTCCGGGTTTTGTGTCATAAAAAACGATTGCTTTTATCGTTGATTAAAAAGTCTAATCAATTGTTTGTTTCGTTTTTGTGTGTTTGTCTCACGTTCGCGATGGCACCGGACGTACAGCTCCACCACCACCGCAACAGCAGCTAAACAACAATCAAAACATGGGCCCACTTATGAATAACGGCGCCCGCGATGTCACTAATAATGACATTCAGAAACTGCAGCAACAACTGCAGGACATCAAAGATCAGGTGCCGATACCATTGTGTCCATACATTTGGCACTCGATTCACACGCTTTTTATTATCGCTTTCTTATCGGAAAACATTCAATAAGTCTTTTGGCGATAGAAAAGGCGTTTGAATTTTAAAAACTCTAAACTCTATATTGACTTAAATATAGTTTTTTCAATTAATTTTAAAACTTTTTATTTATTTTTTCTGTCTCTTATCGCCACTCAGACTATGTGTCCGGTTTGCTTGGATCGCATCAAAAGTATGTCAACCCCTATGGCACACACACTCATACACTCACGGCTATACAGTAATCCCCTATCGCTTAACTCCATGTCCACCACCACCGGCCAATGCATTACTCTTTATTACAAGAAATATATAGAATTTAATACTTTTTGCGCCATAAATGACACGAAAAAATTATTTATAACACACATTTGGCGAGAGTGTAGGGGCTGGGAGGTTTGTGCGAGTGAAAGGGATTTGAAGTCCGTTTAAATCTTCGAAATAAATTCATTTTAAGGACTCCTAAAATAAATTACTGTACAGTCGTTGTGGTATAAGTGATGTGTTGTAGTCGTAAGTATCGATTTGGATGTCTTGTGTACTCATGTATTGTGCGTTTGATTTGGTGGACAGACATGATCTTCCTGTGCGGTCACGGGGCGTGTCAGATGTGCGGCGACCGGATGTCCATTTGTCCCATTTGTCGCAATTCCATTGAGAAACGAATACTACTCTATTGAGACACCGCTTACCCCTTCACAGCCCACCCACCCGTCCGCTCCATTCATTTCAATCCGATTCTCAAGCGTTTGATTTGATTTTCACATTTAATTCCCATTATTATCGGGAGTGAAGTCATCCTTAAGTGATTTGTCTATGAATTTGTGTTTTATTTAGCGTTTATTATAGCGATTCTGTTCTCTCTTAATATACAATTTTTTTTGTGAAACAAATTATTTTCGTTTTATTTTGTTTTATATTTTGGTCTCAATTTAGACGCGAATTTCATTGAATGAATGAATGATTTATTTATTTAATTAGTATTTAAATTATAATATATTTTTGTGAAACAAATTCTCAAACACATTATGTTTTTATGCCTCCCTTTTGATATAAATATTTATTTTAGACTTTAATTACACTTTTAATTGAAATTACAATTTAAACACAAATATTAAGCTTTTATTGAATTTATAAATTTACCGCTCGTTTTAAAACAAAATTATTATTTACACACAAAACCCATGTCTATGAATGTAATCATTAAATGAATATTTCGTTTCGCATGGAATATGTCTCACAAATGGCTAGAAGTCTTAAATATTTTGTAAGATTTACACAAATATTGAGCGAATGTCTGACAAAACATAAACCAACGAAAAGGCCTTAAAAAGTACATGAATTTTAAAAGTTATGTTAATTACAGAAATGTTTTCATAAAATAAAAATGAATTCATATTTAAAATGAATGAAAAAGTTATTTATATTTATGTTTTCAAACGATTTACTCGTTTCGATGTCTATTGAGACCCACTTTGAGCGGCATTTTCTTAAACTTTCTCACTTTAATCGGTTCCAAACCGATGCTCCAGA